GAAGGAAGGAAGGAAGGAAGGAAGGAAGGAAGGAAGGAAGGAAGGAAAGAAAGAAAGAAAGAAAGAAAGAAAGAAAGAAAGAAAGAAAGAAAGAAAGAAAGAAAGAAAGAAAGAAAGAAAGAAAGAAAGAAAGAAATGCCTGTCTATATGGATCCTTTTAAAAGCTTTCCGAAACATTATGACTGTCAGCGTATGTTGCAAGTTAAGAATGGTAATTAAGAAACAGGAAACTTAATAAAAAAGTAGAGTTAAGTTAAAAGCCACAAGTTGTTAACCCAGTTTCCTTTTCCTGTTCTTCCACACACTTCTCGTATTTAGCATAGTTCTACTCTCTGGCTTCAACTTTCAAACTTTACAAGAACACTGAAAAGGCAACAGTAATTGGAAGACAAGGGTAAAATGCTTTTAACATGATATTTTACTCTTTTCCAATAAAAATCTTGAGCAACCACAGGCTCTGAACTTTAATTAGGCAAAATTCAAGCCATTCTGTAAAGTCACAAGGAACAGAAATTTGCATTTAAAAAAATCAAAATGAATGCTCAAAAGACATAGAAAAGTCTAGGTATTAAAATCTATAATGACATAATTAAGGTTGTCAGAAGGATAACTAAAAGGATAGAGATGGTGAAGCAGTTTTCCCTATGAGGAAAGGCTGCAATATTTGGGTCCTTTTAGTCTTAAAAAAAAAAGAGAGGAAATACCACTGGGGTATGCAAAGGCAGTATGGATAAAGTGAACAAGGAGAAGCTATTTTCTCCTTCCCCAGATGTTAGGCCTAGAGGTCACCAAATGAAACTGAATCTTGGAAGCATCAGGACAGGCCAAAGAAAATACTTTTCACACCACATGTAATTTAACTTTGGAATTCACTACCATGAGATATAGCTTGGCTGGTTCAAGAAAGGGTTGGATCAGTTCATGGAAATCATGGGGATCCATGATTATCAGCCTTGATGGTAGTATGATTGTCTCTGAAGGCCACCTACTGGGAGACCAGGGGCTTCCCGTGCAGTTGGGTGGCTACCGCGAGAAAGACTGCTGGATTAGATGGGCCAGGAATCCAAACCAACAGGACACACTGCTCATGTTCTCAGGGTACAGCCAGAAACAGTGACCATAGCACTTTTCTTACTAATACAAAATGGCAATAGCAAAAGCATTTAGACTTCTATACTGCTTCATAGTGCTTTGCAGCCGTCTCTAAGCAATTTTACAGAGTCAGCATATTGTCACCAACAATCTGGGCCCTTATTTTATCAACCTTAGAAGGATGAAAGGCTGAGTTAACCTTGAGCCTGGTGAGAATTGAACTGCTGGCAGTTGGCAGAATTAGTCTACAATTCTACATTGTAACCGCTACACCACCATGGCTCTTAATGCCACCACAGCTCCTAAAATGTTAAACATTTTAATGATTATGAGTTATTGGACGCTGTATAGATTAGGGTTGCTGAGAAGAAATAAGCAAAATGTAAGTTAAAAAAAAAAGAAACAGTTTACAAAAATCATAATAATTGCATTACATCCCAGATGATACTTTATAAATTGATGGTAGAAAATAATGGTATCCTTACTTCTAACCAATGCATATTAAAATCATTTACCAACATATATTGCCATTTAAATACAACATACGCCATGTATGCTATACTGATATTCACATATACATTGTGCATTTCTAAGCTTAACAAGTTTAGGGCTGGTTGCCAGATCAGTTACTAGTTTACTACCATCAACACAGACATGTAATTTACACTAAATGTTTTCTGTCAAGAATCCGGCAATTTTCACTAGACCTGCTTGGTCTTGATCCTGCTCCAAGCTTCTAACCTTATGATATGCAATAAAACTGTCCTTGAAAAGGCGCATAAGCAACCTTTCTGCTAGAACTGTTGTTATTCTTGTGTATAGGGAAGCAAAATAAATTGGTGCTACTTTCATTTTTTCAAAAGTTCTACCCATGGGGGTTTATTTCTGCATAAATAAAGGAAAGCATTCTATGAAAGGTAAAATACAGGTAAGCACAAGACAGCTGAGCCACAGGACGACCATATAAAGCATTACTGATTGTTTTAAAAAGTGCTTACTTTCCTTCTTACCTCTTCCTTCTTTTCATCAGCACTCATAGCTAAGTTGAGACTTAGCTGAGAATGGCTGCTGATGCCACTGTCTTCATTTGTATCGTCGTAGTATACGGCTTGCACAGAATCCTGGAAGCAAACAGGACTCTTCCCCAACTTGGCAGACGGCCCCTCCCCTCTTCCCTCACTTTCCACTGAGCTGAGCGACAGGGTACTGTACCGGTCTGGACAATGGATATCCATGTTGCACTTGATGCTTTCAGCATTAAGACTCTGAGGCTTGGGAACGGTGGGTCTAGCAGGATGGTGGGGGGGCTCAGTGCTGTATGTAAATGGACTGGAGTTTTTTGACCCCTCAAAATCTTCATGGAAAACTTCATCAGGAATTGACCCAGGGTTCTGAAGTGGAGGTGGAGAACAAACCAAGTCTGAAAGATCACAGGATGACATCCTATGGCCCGTAGCATCGACATTTAATGCAGAAGGTAAACCAGCAGAGTAATCCTCAGAACACTGGATGGTGTACCTGGAAGGAGCTGAGGCTGGGTGACGCCGGGATGACAGACACTTACTCCTCTCATTCTCAGTGCTGCTGGAAACCCTGCGGGAATAGTCCTCATGGAGCCTGCTGTTCGGTCTTGTCTTTTGGTTCTGTTCACCGGGGGAAGAAATATCGGTCCTAGGACAGTCCTTCTTCAAAGCACCATCAGTTATGTTACTGACAAGTTTCAAAACTCTGTCAAAATCCTTCGCTCTAATTGGGCTCTTCCAACGTTTTGATTTCCGCTCTGAGTTCCTGTTGGCTTTGTCTGAGTCAGATGATGACATACTCATGGTTCTTGGTGGCAAATGCTTTTCGTTTACAGCTTTGAGGTCGGTGAGGTTTGAGGTTGACTTCCTTTTGAACGAGCTCTTTTTGAGAAAATTCAGATTATCGCTGCTCTTACTCCTCCTGTAGAGCACCTTAGGACATTCTAGATCTTTCCCTACAATTTCACAAATCTGGGATTCCTGCATGACCATTTTGGTATTGCTCTGAGGGTCCTGGGTTTTATCACCATCTAATAAATTTATACGGCCAGTTGCATAAGCACGCCTGATGCTGCGTGATCGATGAGTGTTCCTCAGGAAGGAATCTTCCTCTCCATCAGAATTATCAGAAACCACTGTGTTATCTGTGGTACTGTCATGTAAAGGCCCCGAATAAGAATACCTGTTTGTCTGAAGTCTCACTGTTGTATTGTTTGGAATGTACTTCCTGGTTTGGTTCTCTGACAGGCTATCCTTTAGGTTATCTGGATCTTCTTTGGCTGGAATTCCTTGGAGAACTGACGATTTTAACTTCTTGAAAGATCCCATTTTTCTAAGGGAAGACAAAGCATTCCATGTTGATGAGTTCCCCATAACTATAACTGAACGAGGCCGCTCTACATTGGAGCTGGACCTCTTACGAGGAGTGGGGAAAAAATGCATTATTTTGGAAGGACTGGTTTTATCGTCCTGATTGTTATTTCCATTTTTGTTATTTGTGCTGATCCCCCCATTATGACATAATGAGGTAGTATTGCTCCCTGATTCTTTATTATCCATTACTATACAGATAACAGAGGTGGCATTTCCCAAGCCATTCTGCCAACTCGTCATGTTTTCAGTTTTTGTACAAGAAGAGGAGTCATGGCTCATGACTGCTTGATCTTCATCTTCTCCATGCTGAAGCCTTTGTTCAACTGCACATTTTTCAAGCTCCTTTTTCACACATATTTTCGGTGAATTCAGCTCTCCAGTAGCCTGCACTGCCTGCACCAAGAAAACAAAGTCAGCATTTAGGATTTTTCTCCATTCATAAGAAGAGAGCGATTCTCTGTATGATAGAAAAGGTTTGTAAGGCCCTCTAGTATAGCTGAGAAAGTCTTTTTAAAATGATGCTACAGTAATCTTGTTATTAATTAAATGAATATTATCAGATGTTACTTACTCTGCTGACTTAGATCCTGGTAATAGGCAGTTATTTCTAACATTAATTCTTTCAGCCATAGAAATTCAATCTACCAACCATATAAATTTATCAGAATCTATTTGAAGCTTCCATTGGTTCAGATAGGTTACTGATTGATACATCATAATAAGCAAGTCATACACAGTTTGAATTTGAGACATCACACTAAGCAAGTCATACAGTTTGGACTCCTTGTGAATAGTCACAAATTAATCATCCAAGCAATGTAATTTTCAATTGATTTTGTGTGACTAGGGACAGACATTTTAAGACTGGGGGTATGAATGAAGCTTTTTTGTGAGTAAACTGGTCCCATATTTACCTTTAATCTCTTCCCCACAATTCTGGAAAGCTATGTGAAATCACACTATGAAAATCTGGGCATTTTAATAACCCACAACTGATAAAATTCATACATATTGAGCTATAACTAGTGGTTTACAAACCATTATGATTGATTGTTGAATTGTATTAACCAAAAACCAAGCTGTAATGACTCAACACAATTATGAACTCCACCTAAAAGAATAGAATTATAAAAATGGAAAGGATCATCTAAGCCAGGGGTGTCCAACCTTGGCAACTTTAAGACTTGTGGACTTCAACTCCCAGAATTCCTCAGCCAGCTTTGCTGGCTGAGGA